CCAGGAGATGGATGAGGAGATGGATGAGAAGATGGAGAAGGTGGGACAAGGAGATGGATGAGGAGATGGAGACCCCAGGAGATGGATGAAGAGATGGAGAGATGGTTGAGGAGATGGAGAGATGAGGAGAAGGTGGGACGAGGAGATGGATGGAGACCCCAGGAGATGGATGAGGAGATGGAGACACGAGGAGAAGGTGGGACAAGGAGATGGAGACACCAGGAGATGGATGAGGAGATGGAGAGATGGTTGAGGAGAAGGTGGGACAAGGAGATGGATGGAGACACCAGACGATGGATGGATGGAGACACCAGGAGGTAGATGAGAAGATGGAGACCCCAGGAGATGGATGAGGAGATGGTTGAGGAGAAGGTGGGATGAGGAGATGGATGAGGAGATGGAGACACCAGGAGATGGATGAGAAGGTGGAGACACCAGGAGATGGATGAGGAGGTGGGTGAGAAGATGGATGAGGAGGTGGAGAAATGAGGAGATGGAGACACCAGGAGATGGATGAGAAGATGGAGAGACCAGGAGATGGATGAGGAGATGGAGAGATGGTTGAGGAGATGGAGAGATGAGGAGAAGGTGGGACGAGGAGATGGATGGAGACACCAGGAGATGGATGGAGACCCCAGGAGATAGATGAGGAGATGGAGAGATGGTTGAGGAGAAGGTGGGACAAGGAGATGGAGACTCCAGAAGATGGATGAGGAGATGGAGACACGAGGAGAAGGTGGGACAAGGAGATGGATGAGAAGATGGAGACCCCAGGAAATGGATGAAGAGATGGAGAGATGGTTGAGGAGATGGAGAGATGAGGAGAAGGTGGGACGAGGAGATGGATGGAGACACCAGGAGATGGATGAGGAGATGGATGAGAAGGTGGAGACACCAAGGGATGGATGAGATGGTTGAGGAGAAGGTGGGATGAGGAGATGGATGAGGAGATGGAGACACCAGGAGATGGATGAGGAGATGGAGAGATGGTTGAGGAGAAGGTGGGACAAGGAGATGGAGGGAGACACCAGACGATGGATGGATGGAGACACCAGGAGGTAGATGAGAAGATGGAGACCCCAGGAGATGGATGAGGAGATGGTTGAGGAGAAGGTGGGATGAGGAGATGGATGAGGAGATGGAGACACCAGGAGATGGATGAGAAGGTGGAGACACCAGGAGATGGATGAGGAGGTGGGTGAGAAGATGGATGAGGAGGTGGAGAAATGAGGAGATGGAGACACCAGGAGATGGATGAGAAGATGGAGAGACCAGGAGATGGATGAGGAGATGGAGAGATGGTTGAGGAGATGGAGAGATGAGGAGAAGGTGGGACGAGGAGATGGATGGAGACACCAGGAGATGGATGAGGAGATGGAGACACCAGGAGATGGATGAGGAGATGGAGACACCAGGAGATGGATGAGGAGATGGAGAGATGATTGAGGAGAAGGTGGGACAAGGAGACGGTGGGTCAGATGGATGGTGGGACCAGGAGAAGGAGATGGTTGGATGATGGGATGAGGAGATGGATGATGATTGGGTGGTGGGACCAGGAGATGGAGATGGTTGGATGATGGGACCAGGAGGTGGATGATGATTGGGTGGTGGGACCATGAGATGGAGATGGTTGGATGATGGGACCAGGAGATGGAGATGGTTGGGTGGTGGGACCAGGAGATGGATGATGGTTGGGTGGTGGGACCAGGAGATGGACCATGGGTGGTGGGACCAGGAGGTGGATGATGATTGGGTGGTGGGACCATGAGATGGAGATGGTTGGATGATGGGACCATGAGATAGATGGAGATGTTTGGGTGGTGGGACCAGGAGATGGACAACAGTTGGGTGGTGGGACCATGGGATGGAGATGGTTGGATGGTGGGACCAGGAGGTGGATGATGATTGGGTGGTGGGACCAGGAGATGGAGATGGTTGGGTGGTGGAACCATGGGATGGAGATGGTTGGATGATGGGACCAGGAGATGGAGATGGTTGGATGATGGGACCATGGGATGGAGATGGTTGGATGATGGGACCAGGAGATGGAGCTGGTTGGGTGGTGGGACCACGAGGAGGTTGTGGGGCAGGAGGAAGCCCCGCCCCCCGGGGCCCTCGGCCACTCACAGGTCTCGATATCGGCCGACGCCAACTTCCCGGTGGCCCCAAAGTGGATCCGGATGAACTTCCCCTGGGGAGGAGGAGCTGGGGGTCACCCTCTGCCCCATAGATCCTGCCCCATAGATCCCACCCCATAGATCCAGCCTGCCCCATAGATCCCACCCCAGAGATCCCACCTCATCACTCTGGGTCCTGCCTCCTCC